CAAATGAAAAAAGGGTAAATTCTACCATTAGTCCTCAATCTTATGTTCTGATAACAAATAGGTCCCTAACGATCCAACCTATTACGACTTGTTTTTTAGTACGTTGATCGAATAGTACGATAGTTGACAAATTCTATTTCCTGTTAATTTTATCCCAGTAAACATATCGATCACAATTTTTCAAGATTTTTTTAATCAACACTCTGATGAATTAAGCATGATCGTTTAATTTGAAGCTAACAATACAAAAGTCTGCAGAAAAAATATTATCTTAATTACGATGATGTCAAATCCCTCTAATTTGGTCAACAAACAAAGCCAATCCCAACTAAAATCAAATACTACTAACCAAATTAATATAAAATAAATCGTTTTGCTTTTCCACCAATCCACCCCCTCACCAACCCCAACATTTGTTGTTATATGTTTAGGCCACGATTTGTTGAAAATGTAATTAATCACGCACAACGAAAAATAAAATAAATTTTAATTTTCACCAAAAATCTGCTTTATGTTTATATAGAAATAATGATAGAAAATTTTATATTTGATGAATTCCTTGAAGAATGGTTCTGATCGGCAATCAACAGCTATCCAATTGTATAGCCTTCAATGAAAATTCACACATTGAACAAGATTGATAGAACTAAGATTTTCTTTTCTTGTGCGAGCAAGAATATAATTGTATTGTGTATTAAATTTTCAAATCATAGCAACATATATTAATAAAAGTCCAAATTGATTTAACACGTCTCTTAAACCTAACCAAATCCAATAATTAATTAATCAAATTAATTAAATTTAGTCCATGAATTAATTAATCCAATTAATTAATTCGGGTCTACGAACAAGCAACTCAATTAATTAATTTTTCAGCATTGTTAATTAATTAATGGGTAAATCTCATTCTTCTAGTTATCCTTTTGTGTGTGACTTATTAGATTCCCGATCACGATATTTAACGGCGAAAATTATTATTCTGATCTAATCAAAATCGATAAGTTAAAATACCACTTTTTAATTTATCTTCAATTCACATTCGTCGTCCCACATTGACACCCAACAATGTGTTTGGGCAATACATGTGACGAGAAATGTCACATGATATGACAAAACTAAACTTGTTCGTTTACCATGAAATTATAATCATTTTGTCAATATGATCCGATCAATTATGAAATATGGATATGTGTTAATCTCAATTATCGATCATATCTTTCATCCCACTATTAAATCAATGTAAGTCGCAAACCCTTTTTTGATTTATGTGTACACCTTGGCCAAGAATTTTATCATCAACTTAATTGAATAAAATGTAGATCATAATCTCTCACTATCTAAGAGTGACGAATACTCTATTGATCATTCACAATACTCATATGATTATTGACATACGCAAACGATGTCGTATTAGTGATCCTTGGTAGAGTAACATCATCTAATATCACCAAAGTATGATTATCCTCATATAATGCTCTATGATGACCTCAAGTTGAATGACAAATTCTACTTACGAACGTTAGAGATTAATCTTTGACACTTCGATAGTTATCGATGTGGAATATTTTCTATAGGTCTCCAGTGTTTTGATCTATAACAAAACATTTACGCGTTCACTTAAGTGTCAACACAATTTAGCTCGTGAGATCAGTTACCTACTTCATAAGTAAGAAATGTCACATGTAATGGTTTATCCATAATAATGATATTCACATCTCGTTATTACTTACGACCACAGATGAT